GTAAGAAAAACTCATTTTAGTAGTAAAAGATTCAAATACTTAAGTGTATTTAATTATGTATTAACAGTATCTTTAAATTATCTTGTGTTTATTAAAGACACCTATATTAGCTGTAAAGTTCCAATGCCCTAGTGTATAAGCAGGGTATAAGCTCAAGGCAGATTCGACCAAAGAACCTATTCAAATACTTATGGATGCAAAAATTATAAAATGTAGAAAAAATACTAACAAGCAAAAGAGAAAAAGAGATATTTATGGTAAAAGTTTGTGTGCAGAACTTTAACTAATATCACAGGTATACCAGAAAATTCAGCTCCAAATAAGATCTTATGTCATATATGTGAATACCAAATCAAAGAAATTTTTCCAAATACATTTTTTTGCTCTAAGAATTTTATCAACTTTGCCTGAGTGTGTGGCAAGTGGTGAAAGATCGTTTTGGAGACTAAACTTAACAAAAACAGTTTTGCATTCCACAATTGGACAAGAGAGACTAAATGGTCTAGCAATAATTTCTATAGAAAATGAAATTAACCAGAGAAGTTAACAGGGACAAATTAAGGAAAATTCTGCCATGTTATTTACATGTATTTTCCACTATGTACCATTTTTGGTCTCTGTATTTTGAATTTTAAAAAATATTTAAAATTTTATGAAGTGAAGAAAAATAAATAAAAATATGTAAAAGAGTGAATTTTTTATTTTTGCATCCTGCAGTTGTAGAACTTGATCCAGCAATGTATATAAGCATTCCTTTACATAAATGAATGCTTATACATATACATCTACTTATAACTTTCAATGTTTTTAAGTAAGCTTGTTAGTTATTTTTGATGTTTTACTGTTTAATGGTTTATAATTATAAAATGTACATTATACTGGTATTCAGTTTTATAAGAATGTTAATGGTAAAGATTTAGATTGATGCTGGAAGTACCTTTTACCTCTCCTAAGTCTAGTGGACTTCATTGTGCAGCTCTATAAAGGCTATTATATATACATTAACATCCACTCTGACTTTATGGCTTAATGTTTTTAGGAAATGGAATAACTACATAAATTTTTCTTTGTGTTAAATTTATTTACAAAGATGTAACAATTAAAAATCAAGGAAGAAAATTACAAAATATTTAACAATTAAACTTTAAACAAAAGCTACTATATACGTATATACATGTGTGTATGTCAGGTCCTCCGAGATAAATTCCTTTACCTTACACAGTTCCACAACACACAAGGAAACCACAAAGCTACTCCTGATTCTACAACCCTGAACATCACATCATGGAAGTTGCGACTAAGTACAGGGACCCTGCAAGTATAATAAACATAAGCATTATTTATTCATACTGTAACTTCTAGACAAAAAAAAAAAGGTGTAAAGGTCAAAAACATTTTATCTTGTAATTTCAAATTGTTACATAGCTATGACATGGTAAGACACCTATTAGTGTGTCTGTTTGTTTGTTTTTAAATTTTGCGCAAAGCTACACGAGGGCTATCTGCGCTAGCCATCCCTAATGTAGCAGTGTAAGACTAGAGGGAAGGCAGCTAGTCATCACCACCGCCAACTCTTGGGCTACTCTTTTACCAACGAATAGTGGGACTGATCGTAACATTATAATGCCCCCATGGCTGAAAGGACGAGCATGTTTGGTGTGACGGGGATTCGAAACCCGCGACCCGCAGATTGCGGGTCGAGTGCCCTAACCACCTGGCCATGCCAGGCTAGTGTGTCTGAGTTTGTGCATTTTGTTTCCTTCATGGAGTTTATGTTGTTTTACTTTTTTTTTCTTTTTTCTGTTATCGAATTTGTTTTTGTACTTGGCTAAGGTTCTAGTGACAATGTGTTTAGGGAAATGACATTTGTTAATAAATGTGTCAGATATTGATTCTAGTTCACGCTGCAGGTTGCTGCTACTAGATATGTTAAATGCTGTGTTGTACATACATGATAACATGCCAATTTTTGGTTGAGTTGAGTGGGTTGTGTCCCTCTTTATATAGTTGCTATCATTACCAGGTTTGTGGAAGATTTTCATGTTAAAACTGTTGGAAGTTTCTTTCTTTTGTTATGTTCATGTAATTTAAAACCTGTTTTTCATTCTCTTCTTCATGAGAGAATTTGATGCTAGAGTGAATGTTGTTTACGTGTTGTAGAAATGACCGTTGATGGTTATTATCTTCAAATCCACAAAATACATCATTGACTTATCTAATCCAGTATGTGGGAGGGTGTAGAGTTGTCTTAATGGTGTGACTTTCTATTTTGTTGATAAACAATTCACATAATCCAGGTGACAGAGGGTTGCCCATGCTTAGGCCATCTATTTGTTCATAGGCTTTGTCCTGACAGGTGAAACATATTTTAGTGGAAAGTGAAACAAGTCTTTAAAAATTTCCAAGCACAGGTTGTAATGCAATTTGTCCAAATTTTGGGATGTCATTTCTAGAGCTAGATTTGTTGCTTCATCCTTCGGTATCATCGTATTTATGGAGACTACGTCAAAACTGTAAATTTTGTGTAGATTGTTGATGTTTTTGAGAATGCTCCGAAATTCTAGAACAATTTAAACCTTGTATTTATAGTTGTCATGCAATGGTTTGATCATAAAAATCTAGGAATCATGCAAGTTCATGGTTATAGCTGCCATAAATGGAAAGGATGGGGCAGATGTCAACTGGGTTATTGTGAATCTTTGGAGCATCGAACAAACAAGGAATAAGTGCATTGGTGATTCTTGAGCTATTGTACATGTCTTCTGTGATGTCACTGTTCTTTTTTAACTTCAAGAGTAAGCTATTCAATTGTCTTCCATAGTATTCATTAAGGTTTTTGAATAGTTCTTTGTATTTGTCTGAATCATTTATAGAGTTTTTTAAATAAGTTGTTGTAATCTTCTGTTTCCATTTATGTTATGATCTAAGGTACTAGGCTGAATGCACATTGCGTATTTATTCATCTCTATTTTTTTAGGAAATTTACCATTGAATTGTTTCAACAGGCATCTGTTAGTATAATTTTTTGTTACTGCTGAAACTGTGCTTTTTTGAATATTTTTAAATACAATTCATCCATAAGTAGACCTTGTGAAAGACTACTCTCCAACATTTAAGTCAGGTTTGTTTATATCGACAGTTGTTTGTTTCCATATGTGTGGGAAAACAAAGAAATGTGTCTATCTATAAAGTTATGAAGTCAAATTGTAAAATTTGTATTAGCCAAACATTATGCAATTATAAACAGATGAAAATTAAAAACATGTAATTTCAACTTTTAGTATATGTAATGACTAAACTTAATTTAAATATTTTCAGAATTACGTACAAAAAAATACTACTTACTATTTTGAAGAAAAATGGGAAATGTTTATGCAAAGGTAATCAAACTCTGAAAAGTTTATGTAAGGCAAATATAATTATATTTAACTTCAGATGTAAGAAGAACCAAATTATATTTCCCTACATAATGAATTTTCAAAACTAAGTTTTCCTACTCTTGCACTATTGTGTACTAAAAATTCTACTTCTTTAAATTAAGAAATACTGGATAGTAGTTAGACACCGTTCAAAGGTCAATAAAACAATAAAGTTTAATTATATATAGATGTATAATGTTACAAACTTAGAGTTACTTAAGATAAACCAAATGTAGTTTTATGTTACAATTTGAAGTCATTCTGGAAAGAAAAAAGGTAATTTAGGTTTATTTCCTTTTTTTTTGGTGGTTACGAGGTTGGTCGAATTGACCTATCACATTTTGAGATAGGGTAGAGAAAATAACAGATAAACTTTTTAGTTTTACTGAAAAACGTTTGAAATGCATTTATGAGGTTCTAAGGATTAAACAAAGGAAATTTGAGATTTTTGAGATGATAGAAAGTATTTTTAATTTTAACATTAAAATTACTTTGCATATGGGCTGTTCAAAACAAATACTCAATATATTAATGGGCAAATATTTATTTTATTTTATTAAAAATACTTCACTAAAGAATATGATTTTTTGTATGTGAAAGACTGCCAAATTTTGTGAAAATATACACACTATATTGAAATTTAGAAGTATTAAATATATAAAGACTTTAATCAAGTACAAAGAGGTCACGTGTTCAGTCAAATTGACTGAGTCCCGTGTTGAGAGAGTTAAAGCAATTTTCTTTTTTAAAACAGCTTATAATATAAGATCACAAATAATTGTACTTGCTGTAGGTTATTACAGTCATATGCCAAATACTGCCCTCTTAATTCTTCTTCCGTTACACTGATTTTAACTGTTGCTTTTTATTTTCAAATTTTATCATATTGTAACTACATTAGTTTACTATAATTTGAGGGAAAGTTAATTGCCACTATCAAATACATTATGCACACACAAATACTAGTGTAAAACTAAAAAAAACAAAAATGCACAGTCATGTCTTTCCTACCAACAGTGAATAATTAATTACAAAGATATTTATGAAAAACATAAGAAATAAAAATGAATATAAATAACTATAAATACCTATGCTCCGCTGCAGGATTCTTAGGTCCCCTCATGATTCACAGAGGTCTCAATGTACCAGTCAAGCTTCTCCATTATCTTAATTACTTCTATAGCTACCCCAATGAGACAATTTTTAAACTGATTTGTCTGTTTTCATTTCCCGAACTTAATTCAATTCCACTCTTTTTTTAAAGCAAATAGTTTTAACTTTTTTTTCTTCCTGTGTTTTTATTTGAATTATTTTCATTCTTTGATTTCTCGAATATTTTGCGATTCATATTTTTCTTCTCGTTGTTTGTTGCTATTTCCCAAACTTAGTTCAATTCAACTTTTTTTTTATTTTCAGATATGTATTTTTCTTCCCATGTTTGTGTTGAAAAAAAAAGAGTATTTGGCAGAAAACCTCCACATATTATTCATTAAGTGAGAATTAGCAAAAAATATAATATTTTTTCTATAGACCTCCAGGAAGCAGAATTATGGAGCTTAAGAGTTATAGTTCAAAAAATTGGCCAACATTTTTTGTGTGAAGTCTCAAAAATAATATCCAGGTACCTGCCCTCAGAATCCCCTTAGTATGCATGCAAACTTTCAGGTCTGTAGGCTCTATTTTCTTGGAACTCTGGTGGTCACACACAGACAGGCTCTTTTATTATATATTATTATATATTTTTTGTTACATGGTTGTAATAAGTTTGGTCAAATTGACAGACCATATACGGTTAGTGTCAGGATAGTGAAGATAAAATATAAAATTATACCGAAAAAACTTTAGATATTCATTTAGGAGGTTTTACAAGTTATGCAACTAAAATATGAAAGCTAAGGTGAAACGAGGAATTTTTATTTTTAGCAAGAAAAATCATCTTGCATTCATACTAAATCATTTAACACCTTGGAAGTTCACAGACAACTCTTTAGTACAAATACTTTATCAAAAATTCTGATTTTTTTTGTACAATAGACTTGTAATGTTTACTAAAAGCTTGCTAACATTTTTGAAGCTACACTTATTAAATTCATAATTATAGTAGGTATACTTTCATGGCGACAAGATTGGTCAAAATGACCAGGCCCGTAAAAGGAATGTTAGTTAAACATAGGCTTTGCTTTCCTTTCGTGTACACCAGATGAAATATATACACACCTTTTTTTTTCCAGAAAAGTAATATAAATAATGATATATATCACTTCAAATACATGAATGAAAGCTTACTTGTCTTTCCAGAAACTTCCTAGCTCATCAGATATAATAAATGCAACAGTAATAAGCAGCAAAACTGCTTGAGAAACCAGACCAAGCCTGGACTGGCTAAGTTGTGATGTGTCAGGTGAAGCAGAAGACCCATCCACAAACCCCCCACGCACCTAAAAACAATGCAAAGAAGGAAATAATTAAACCACCATCTTTTGTGAAAAAATATTTTGTGTCTCAACTTAACTTCCCAGAATGTTAATTGAATTATATTTTCAATACTAAAAAACTTTAACATTTAATTTTCTTGAAAGAGTATTTCTAGGTGGTATTAAAATTCATACTAATATATGATGATTTTTTTTAACAGTCACTAACTTTTGTTATTAATTTGGCTAACAGTGCAAAAAGTAACTTCCATCATATTAAATAATCCCATGAGCATTTTACAATGCTGCAAAACAAGACTTATTTTAAGTTTGTTTTTTTCAATTTCTCACTCAAGTCAAGTCTAAATCTTTATACTGCTCCTTATTATCATGGAAAGCAAAGAAATATATTTCAACGATATATTTTGCCTACTCACCCAAATAATGGTCAATAAATAATCTGTTAAGTGATTATATATTCAAAAATAAAAGTTGTTTAGAAGCCATTTAAAAACATAGGGATGTTGCTGAGAATAATGTTGACTTCATAGACTGACATTGAACTTAATATCTGTACATATACACTCTTTAGTTACTATGGTTAAAGTGTGTGTTATCACATTATATGTAATCCTTTCAAAAATTAAATCAATTAAGGATAGCACACACATATACTGAAGCTGATATAATCACTATCTAGGTGCTCCTAAAAACTCATTTCAGCATCTAAGTGATTGACAGCAGAGTGACCTTCATGTATAATTGATTTACTTTCCTAGCTTTTTGGAGTTTTTGAAAAAAAAAGGATATTACAAACAATTTACTTCTATAAATATGGCAAAATCTGGCATATTTTAGGATCTTATTTTTATGTTGCATTTTCAAGAGTGAAAATACAGAACTTCCTTTAACAGACTGATAAAATTAATGAACAATGCATTATTCTATGTTCCAAGTTCAATACATAATTTCCTGATCAGGTTGTGAAATAGTTACACTAATTACTCACATGTAAGAATTTCACAGATAAATCAAAGTACATATCATATAAGTTTTTTCAATCTTTGGGCTTTAGGCTTAGTATGATTCATATATGTTCATAAACATACATAACATACTATATTTCAAGACCAAAAACTGAAAGAGAAAAATTATTCTTTGTACAAATTCCAAGAAATTTATATTATAATCAAATTTAGGCACACAAAAAACATGCATACACAAAGTTTCTTATTTGAAGTTTACAATTATCAGAGGTATATAGATTGTTTAGTATCATTTATATATTTAATTACATAACTATTGTTCAAACATTTCAGTTTCTAAGTAACACAGCTACTGGATTGTCTTAATGTATCTCTACTCCTAGGAAAGAAAACTTGTATATTGTTTGTTCCAAAGCTCTTGTAAAGATATACATATGGAACAGACTTTGCAATAAATGTTTTCAGTATGGTAAAATGTGACTGAATCAATAAGTATATCCAATCATATCAAAAAAACAGACTCAGATAGGAAACAACATAACTAAAGGGTGTTTTTCATACTTTCAGAGAATAAGTTCATAATTCTATAGACTGTCACTAGTAATCTGAATGTATGGAAAACGAAACTGAATGATTTTAATGACAGAAACTAAATAATTATGCAATGTACATGATCAGCCATAGTTACGATAAAAGTAATCCATTTTCCAGTCAATAAACAAATGAAGTTTCAAATATTTGTAGTAAGATATAAACTGCATTTATAGAAAAGTACATTACTATTTCACCTCAACAAATGCATAGAGCACAAAGTTAGTTACTTACTTTAAAGTACATCTGAACACCATATATAAGGAAAAACACCACCACCACCACCATCAAAAATGCAAAAAGCCCATTAAAAACACTTGTGAAGAAAATCTGTAAAAAAAAAAGACAACTTTAAAAAATTAAAGGAAATATTTTACAACATAATATACACTACTAAGGAACTACAATTTGGGATATGCAGATATTATCCGAAGAAGAATATACCAAATTAAAATTAAACAAAATTTTTCAAATTTCTATGTTATATAAAAATAACACTCTCACAATTTGGAATGGGTATTAGGTATACAGTAGCACTGTAGCCTTATGGGGCTTAATCTCAGATTAACTTATTCATAACAAATAAGTATACTAATTACAGGTAGATGTAATGTGAAATGTAATAGTTAAATGCATAATTTAATATTACCCATAGTTCTGTTGTTTTAACATTAAATAGTCCTACTTCTTTTTAAAGATGGTGATCAAATTTCACTGGACCATTTGTATTGCAAAAAAGTCATTTAAAGAAACATTTTACTCTAAATATGTCACAAGAATATGAATATTAATGACTATAATAACCAAATTGTAAAAATATAAAAAATTTTGCAATGATTTTAAAATAATTAGATCTTACTTTATAAGTTATAATTTTCCTATACTGAAAATTTATTTCCAATAGGTACTTACCTCTTCTCACATCAATAACTATTCTCGTTCAGTGCTGATCTCTATATGCACAAAAAATGTTATGCATGCCACAAGCCTTTTATCTCCCCTCCACTGGAACTGACTGACTCCAATGCATCTCTCATACAAATCATCATGTGTCAACCTTCCACCAATTAGAGTGTGACATACTCTCATGATGCATGTGACTCCCTCTATTCAATTCTACCGAACTATCACTTTGAGTTTTGGCAAAAGGTGGAAGCACCAATTTTTCAGTGGGGAGGAAGGGTGGGAAGTGTAAGCGGAGGTAAGTACCTATCGGAAATACATTTTCAGTATAGGATAATTATAACTTCTGATAAGGTACATTACCTCCTCTCACATAAATAGCTAGAATCCCACATTGAATAGGTGGAGGGACCGGTGCGAGGGAAAAAAAGAAGTTTCCTTCAAAAGTGTCAGAAGGACACTCTCTAAGATGAGACAGTCAGATTCGAGGATTTGATGTGTGGGATACCACTTCTGAACCAGGTATACTCTTCGCCCATCATAGAAAGATGTTGCACATATGGGCAAAAAACAGAGGAGCACATCCAAATGGGAGAAAACTAAGGTCGGGTAGTGATCCGAACCATATAATATATATATGCAACTCTATCCCAGAAATTATAAAAGAGTGTAAAATTAAAAGGATGTGTCCTAGGTGTCAAGTGGCAAGGGAGAGACAGACCATACACGTCAAGTCAACTACATCCAAAACCCATGCCACTGGGATCCAACATCCATGTGGGGATAGGAAAGAGGATCGTACTACCGGCAAGTCAACTACAATCCAAAACCCAGGCAACTGAGAAACGACCTCTATGTGGGGGTAGGAAAGAGGATCATACCATCTTCACCTCAAGTTCGTGAGGCCGGAGGAAAGCAAGAACACCCAGACCCATGAACAGGGTAGAGGTTAAGAAATTGACAGATCGATTCAGGAACCTGATATCTGGTATGGAAAAGATGTCTGCATAATGTAAACCATCTCCCTCAAAGGTGAAATTGACCGAAACCATCCCAAGTACAGTAACATCCTCAGAATAATAAGCATGTAGGGATAGGAGGAAAGAAAAGAGCCATAATAATCTGCAAGTACCTCCATCATGACCTACAACACGGATGGAGTAACAAGAGTATAATTAAGGGGGGGAATACAGACATCTATAATACTCATGTGAGGACTTATGTTGATTGGTTCAACTGTAAATCCAAAACCCAGCCACTGGGAACTGATATCCACGTGGGGTAGGATGAGGGATCCCAATCAAAGGAGTGAACTGCAATTTTAACACCTCATTCCCATTTATATTTGTTTCATAATGGAGGATATCACGTCATCTACACCAGCAGAACACCACTGCCATACTTTCAACTGAATGGTTGTATAATCATTTCTATATTTTGTTTGTATTTTGTATTTCATTACCCCATTCAGGTTTTTCTCTATCAAATGATGTATTATATTATGTTGTTGCCTCTCCAAACAACTGTCTATTTCACAGAAAATACATTGATGAGCTTAGCTGAATTTTTAATAGTTTTTGTTGCAGTTATAAATCCAGAAAAATTGTGATAGTTATGGAACATTGTTTCCTTGTTGCATGTTATTATTCTGTGTTCTTTGTTGCAATATTTAATTAAATAGAAATTATTTAATGCAATAATACAATTAGTATAAAAAAGTACAGTTACGTTTCATAAACAGTCAAGAGCCAAAAATTAAGAATTGGAAATGTAAAGAAATCCCACTTTGCAAACTGAACAATTAAAATCACAAAAGCAATTCACACGAAGAGCACCAAAAGAAAAAAAAAACGTCTGAACATGAGCACTGCCAAACGAGAAGTGATAGTTCGGTAGAATTGAATAGAGGGAGTCACATGCATCATGAGAGTATGTCACACATGGTGGAGGGTTGACACATGATGATTTGCATGAGACACACATTGGAATCAGTCAGTTGCAATAGAGGGGAGATAAAACGCTTGCGACATGCGTAATCTTTTTTGCAGATAGAGGGCAGCACTGAACGTGAATAGCTATTTATGTGAGAAGGGGTAATGTACACTATCAGAATAGCAGTTGACTAAATCAGTAAACTTGTTTTTCTCATATTAAGATGACATATTCAGACATTTTCCTGCACAATTAACAAAAGCTGATTATTTACTACTAAAACCTTAGTTTAAAACTCACTTCCCATACACAGAGATATATTCATATTAAATTATGTTATCAAAGAATCAATGCTAAATGATTTGAAATTTATGAACTCGTAATACATGAAACTTGCTCATGGTTTATCCTACCAAAAAATTAAAAACAAAAAAGAGATTCCTACTTATTTAAAACACTTTCTTTTTCTACCTTACTTAAAATGTTAATGAATTAAGATCATTCAATAAATGATAGCTGTCTAAGTGTGGTTGTCATGACTTCCAATTCATTATTATATGTCAATTAAAGAAATATGTTCAGAAAGAAGCAACATGATAACAAATCATGTTAAGTTTCAGATTATTTTACAATTAACTAATGAATAATAATGTGTTTTCATCAATTGGATAAAAACTATGAAAACAATATGAATCCTACTGACTTAACATTTCATTATAGGTCCAATTTTATTTACTTTTCAAATTTGATTTGTTTTCTACCCACCTTTTCACACTCATCATGGATGTCCAGCTGCAGCAAAATAAGCTCAGCACACAGCAAGGAGTATGTGATGACATTAAAGGCTATGAAGCCCAGGAATGACTTACTAAGGAAACGTGGCTTGTCTAATCTCAAATCTCTCATATGGAAAACCTGTAGTTTATTCAATTGTGTCTGTAGTTAAAACACCTATACCACAAATTAACATCTGAATGATGAATAAAAATGAGTTACAATATGTGCAAAACAGAATGGTATTACTGTTCAGTTATCTTACATTGTTAGTGAAAGAAATAATACCTACTTACTTGTATATATGCATCTACAAGCCTAATTAAGAGTATAAAGAAGAAAGCTAGTGCTTCAGATAAGTTCAAATCCAACCAAAGAATTACCATAACAAAAAAAAAAAAAATTGTAAGGAAGCTACAGCTAATGGTACATATTGTGGTCATTTCAAATTCCAAAACCGTAAATATATTAAACTTTCTAGGAATACATAAAGAATTATTTTCTAGTATCTATGTTGATGAAAGTCATATTTTCAGTGTGTGAATATGCTTTTGTCTTTCAAATATTTGTCAACCAAAAAAGATGAGTATTCATAGCCACCTGCATACATTACAAAGCAAAACAGAGAACTTCTGATTTTTTTTTTTTATTAAAAATGAAATAAAATATACAAGAAGAGTAATTTCAGCTTTAGCATTTCTTGTTGCACATCTTCAACATTATCAGCCTTTTAAACTGTTCAATTTCTATTACTAAATTACATTAGCAAGCAGGGATTAACATTTTACATGTTTAAGATTTTAATAATGTATTTTTAGAGATTGCTGCTAAGCTTTTATGTTCATGCTGCTGTTTTATAAATAGAATCTAATAAAATACCAATCTGAATAAAAATTTCAAGTCTATATATTTGTTATAAAAAATATTATTAATAAAGCAATATAAAGTTAAATCATTATTTCTCAGATATCTTTCTTAAAACAGTATGTACGAAATTCTATATTTTAATCTGAGCAGCTTTTGTCCTTGTTAAATAAACACGTACTCTTTTTATCTTATCATTTTCCTTTCCAAGCATGATGGCTATGCAGCATGAAAACAGTTGATGAAATAAATCAGAAACTAGTCATACATGCTATAAAAGTTCTTGATAAAGAGTTTGTTACATAAAAGAAAATGTACTAATTAATTCCAAAGAACAGCAGCTACAAAAGTTCAACACTTATAGCACTACATTCTTCCCATTTTACAAAACAGTCTCAACAAATTCATAATGTATGCTATGTTCTTGTTTCTCCATATGTCAGAGTCTGCACTGAACCAAATAATTGATAAGACAGGAATGTATACATAAATTGTATACATGTATACAAGGTTCTACAATTAGTGTTTCCCCAAAGTTACTGAAATGTACCAGTCAAATTAACAAATATCTTAAAAACAAGTTATTACATGACAAAACTAACACATGTGATTCAACAATACCATGTATATGCAAAAAAACAATTTGTATTTTTCTTCTTTACTTTTTATGAGATATAACAATATTTTTTTTCTCTCACTGTATTGACATTTTTCAATAATCTACTTCTTTCTGGTCACATTATAACAAGAACTAGAGCAGGTTTCTAGTTAACCTGAACTCCCGGGTCCTATACTCATAAAAATTTGTCAGGTCGTTTGAGATTTGAACCCCCAGGTACCAAATACAAACTGCAAAACACCCCATATGCAAGGCAAGCATAAGTATTTTGCTTCTAACTTTGTACCATAACAAACTAAATAGCATACAGTTTGCACACAGCTGTCCATAATCAACTTCTAACAGGTTTCACAAATGAAAATAAATTGCACAAAAATAAAGCCATATGAAAGAACCACATGATTAACCCTTTCACCTTGGGTAGGTCAAAGTACACGTCACAACCTTTCACAGAGTTACATTCAAAATTTAATCAAACTGTTTTGTTATCAATGTATATGAATACACTCTGCATCAGAACGTAGATAATACAGTAACGTTTAGCATTATTTAAGTTTTAAGTTCTTAATTTCTCCCATACAGTGAGAACTGTGACATTTGTTATTTAGGTTTTCCTTCTTGTCTAATTCTTTACCACCCCTCTAAGAAATATGAAACAGAAACATCTCAAAAACAAAGGAGTAGAAACTGGAACTTCAAATCGATATTAATTGGTAATCAATCAAAAATTGTGCAGTCACATGAAGAAAGTAAAGCACACATCCATTTCAATCGAGAAAGTGAAGAAAGGGTAGAAATAGCTACCTGTGCTAGTATAGAGGGCACAATGGGATTGGTGGAGGGTGGTCACATTATCAGCACATGTTGCTGCAACGATGCAGAAAGTATAAGGGTATAAAAGACTGGTACACTTTAAAAAAATTTACCAATGCCTAGAGAGCAAATGAAGGTCGAGATAGCTATGGGTGAGAGGTGGTAGTACTATTTCGGAAACACTAATTTTAATTTGTTGATTATTTTCCTGAGTTGTGACGAGTCGATTAAACTGAATACCATTGAATTAATTGAAAAAATAATATGACATCATAATGCAATATTTTGATTACTTGGACAGTTGGAATAACTGAAATCAGTAATAATTGTACACATTAATTTCAATTAGTTGACTGTTTTTGTGACATTATTTTATTTAATCATGATCTTGATTAATCGATTACTTTTAAGCATCAATTACACTCATTAGTATCATGTAAAATAATTGGTATTTCAAATGGCTAAAGTATACTCAACACAATGTTTAATGAAATTAACACAACAAAAGAAAAACTGTCATCAGATATTAAAGAACTAAATGATGACATAGAATTTATAAACTAGCAAAACAAGGAAGTATTTCTGGCATAGAGCTTCGAAGAAACATTGAACTACTGAATCTTTACAAAATAAACAGCAATTCAATTAACTTTTACCCTCAACAAGATCTATTATGTCTTTATATTAGTTTAGATGTGATATTCCATAATAAAAAATCATAAAACTGTTTCCAACTGATGAAAAAACTTATATTTTTTCTTTTATAACACAGTCAGTTTAAAAAAACTCTAGTAATTAGGAAAAAACTTTGTAAAATACAAAAAATAATATAAATACCTGCTAGCTAGAAACATATCAAGAACAAGTTAAAAATTATAATCTTCAAAATATGAAGATACTTTTATTTTATAATCTGTAACAAATAATATCAACATTAAATGTACTAAAGGCACATTAAAATTAGCACTTAATTTAAAACTACTATTTCAAATAAAAGAATATATCAATTAATAAAACTAACATAAAAATATACTTGTGTTAGATGCAAATTAAATTTTTATACCACTGCCATAACTTCCATACAGATAATAAATCAATTTTAGTTATTTTGTCAAATAAAAACAATTACTCTGGTTTTATAATAGCTAATACATCATCATGATTTTATTTAAAAAAATTAAAACAACAAACAGTGAGAGCAGTGTATACCTCAGCCCAAAAACAAACAATCAATGAGGAACCAGTCAGCAGAAGAGGGTAATAAGCACTCAGCAAACTAGATGTCCATTGGACAGCCGAGTTGTTCTAAGAAAGAAAACATACAACAATCTCTATTTATTGTTTAATTCAAGCAACATATTTACACACAAAATATCAAGTCCACATAATTAAATTCAGTTTCATTACTAAGTTTAATATTGCTATTAATTCTAAACTTCACAAAAATAATGATGGAAAAATAAAGTTAGAATAATGCACCAAAGTCACTACTATTTTGGAAAGTTGGTACAATAGAACCAGTACTCCATGTGAAAAACACCTCAAATATCATTTCTGTAGTTCCTATGTAGTCTAGGTCTAGGCTGAGAATATAACTGAAATAAGAAACACAATCAGCTATAAAAGAAGTACATGTATATGTTAAATATTTGATGTAGTGTAAAAATTTTGGCAACAAAGCATCAATTAAGGCTTTGACTTTTGTGGCCTTGCTAATGGCCTTGAAAATTCAGCATAATTGGGATTGAAGGATTAAAGCATTACTAGTTTTCACAATGAAAACCACAAAAATAAACTTAATTTGTTGCTCAAAGAAAGAGATTTCAATGTTTATGTTTACTAAAATTTGTTAACATGTTAGTAAACAAACTGTCTAAACTCCAGGCAACCTTGGTTATTAAACTTTTAGGTATCAAGAGCTTTTATGTTCTGATAAAGTCCATTATTTGTAACTTCAAATTTCACAACAAATAAAAAAAAACTTTAGTTTCATGGTCAACCTCTTTATGTTTAGTAGTACTCAAGGACCTCATCTTTTGAAAAATACGACTTTTAGGTTTTGTAAACCTGACTATTGACCTTTTAAATACAAGTCCAAAGAAAAAATTAAAAAACAATCAATGGATCAATCAATAGTGTTTTTCAATCAATGGCTTTTATCACAAGCTTACAAGTTCTATTGCTAATATGTATAGCAACCGAGTAGATTGGACGATTTGTCACATAATAAAATTACATGTAGATAATACAGATGTATAACAAATTTAATCTCGATATCACTTTAACCATTTACTTGGGAACAAAATAACTTTTTTACAAAACAAAGACAGGAAAAAATTTTGGCCAAATTTTACAACAAATAACACTTACTTTATAAATCTGCAACTATGGCTTTTAAGGTCATGAATTAGAACACAAGATTATAACTTTTACCAGGCTTGTTCTACATCTCTCTCCAAAACATAGTTCTATAAAGATAGACATACACAGGAACAGAAGTAACTTGCCCACAACTTTTTGAAACTAGAACTACAGAATGCAAATTTACCTAGAATGTAAAATGACACCCCCCCCCTACTGAAAAACATTCAAGTTTAGGAGGATGTGGGTAATTTTGACAAAATTAGAAATTGACTTTCCTGTGGGATATCGTATGTCCAATACTAAAGGAAGTTTGTGAAATTTCAATGAAAAATGTAAGAGTCAGTAATATAAAATGGCTACACGGGTATAAGCTATAAAAATACATAAAAAAACATAATATCGTGTGTAATAGTTAGTGATAAAACTATAGTAAATGGAACAAACTATTAAAAGTCTTGATAGTGGAAAAACTATTTTTGACACATTCATATGTCCTCTTCAGTCTCATGTTGTCTTCTGGCAGGAAAACTGGTCAACAACTAAATATAAACATTTCAGAAATGCTGAGATTCCAATATGTTGATGCTATATTTTATGCACGGCCAACCCAAAAAAGTGACTTTAAAAACTGTAATCAACCTTAATCATGTTCCCCCCACTATTAAATTTAAAGTTGAATGGAAGAAGAGACAACAAACTTCCTTTCTTGGATATTTTAATAACCAGAGAAAACACAGAACTTGTCCTCCCTGTATACCATAAACTGACAAATTCTTTAAGTTATGTTCACTTTATGCCACCATAAAGATATCAAAACATCTAATATTTTTTCCCTTTTGCTTATAACCTATACAATATGCTACCTGACAATGGTTGGAAATAAAATTAGAAATACCTTTTCTATAATTTCATTTCCCATAAATTGGTACCTTAGAGCAATTTTTCAAGAAGAGAGAAAGACCAACCAATGACAATACGAAACCATTATATATTTGTTAGAATGCTCAAATTGTGCTCCTAAAGAAAATATTAAGTAACAGTAACATTAAAATCACATTCAAATATACAAATGCTATTAAAGACAGCCTCACTTCAAATAGAACAATGTCAGCTAATAAAAAACAAGGTGTTTAAATTATACCATGTCAATCTTGTGAGAAAGGTTACGTAAGTGAAACCAGAAGTGTGGACACAAGTTTCTGAACATAAAAAAAAAAAAGACATTAAATATAGGAAACAGAGGCAATGCAATTTTTCTTCAGATGAGAGATTATGGTTATCAAAATAACTAGTAATGAATAATAATTTTGTACCAAACTGATAACTATATAAAAATAAGAACTGTCAAAAGTTGCTTAATCAAAAGCCTGCCTAATTTTAATAACTCCCAAGGTCACTTTAAACTAACAACTTCCTGACTTTATCCTTAATAGAATTAATATGATGACCAGTTTTCCTGCTAGAAGACAACATGATACTGAATAGAACACACAAATGTGTCAAACTAGTTTTTCCAATATCCAGATTTCTGATAGTGTTCCATTTAGTGTGTTTTTTTCACTAATTAGAGTAATGACTTGTAAAAAGGTTTACTGGCTGCTATCAGGATATGTATAGGCCCAACTCACAATCACTTTTTATACATTCATATGAACACACACTGCATGCTGTAAACGTGGAGTTGACAATTTACACCTCTTCAGCATTTGACAAAAACAAAAATAAGAAAATTGCTAAGACTAACTGAATTAAACATGTCAGTGTAACTGTACAATTTAATCAAATTTTGTATTATTATACACAGAATGGCCCAAACATTTTTCACTTTTTTTTTTATATAATATGAAATAATCCACACTCGTGTTTTCAGAAGAATAAGACCTTTATTCAGCAACCTAAATGAAATGCATTTTTTCACAAAATATATATAAATACAAAGGCCATATATGAGAAATATATTTTGGCATTGTTTGCCATTTCATAGGTAGTATGATGCCAATGAAAACTGACCACTTTTGGAAAAGGTATATAATAGTCTATTTGGGTACAAAATATTATACACTAAAATCATAAAGACAAATTCCGATTTGGAATTTAGAAGTTCCAAGATGGAGATATCCCTTGTACTTAACAGCATTGAAAAAAAAACAAGGGAATATGGATCAACTTTGAGAATCAAGACCATACAGAAAGAAACTCACAACAAATCATACCTCAGAAGTAGTAAACAAAGAGCAGCATATTGTAATAGGTAAAAATGAACACAAAAGATCTGTGGTAAAAAGTCGTCAATGTGCCCCAAGCAACAATACTCAACATAATCAAGAAAGAACTCTGACACAAATCACATGTACATAAGTTTCTTCTACAACAGATCTGTTCAATAATTGCATACTTTAAATGGCTGGAAAATGAAACAGGTATTCATGCTACTGCATACAAAGACATACCTTTCAAATTGTCAAATGCAGTGCCTATGGACTTCTGTGTGATCAGACTGTAAAAATGGGTCAAGGATAATTGTTACCTTTGTAAATCAGGTTATGGAAAGCTAGAAGAGAGAAGGAGGAGGGTGTGACAGAGCCTTTTGCAAATAAAACTATGCCGCAGGGCTACTGTCAAAATTCACAGTCATCAGATAGGGCTTTATAGTACGTGGAGACACGGACAGTAAGAACATGGATAGGCTACAAAATCATTTTATTATAATGTTCTCAACCTCTGTACAAGTTTTCTTGGGATAAATTTATATCAGCCCCATTCTTTATATTCAACTGCAATGTCAAATCTCAATTTTAACTTTAGAAATGAACAATATTTGATTGAGTAGTTTCCATGACACTTCCTTAATTTCAAGCTAAACATTAAAATTAAAAAGGGAAATAAAATTACTTACTTACACTTTAAAGAGGTACAAGATTACATACCGGGGAGGAAAAGTAAAAGCCTCTGATAGCTGTTGCAATGCAAATCAACGTATACAAGGCCTTCTGAGTAGTTACTCTGCAGGCTTTGACCAGAGACGAGGTCTTCATTCGGCTAAATTCCGACTTAATACAAACTAGCTGGAAAATTATGTCTAATTACTTAAATTATATGAAACAGATAAAAGCTCTAATTCCTAATTATCTTAAGTTATTACAATGTAAAAAGTGTTTATTTATCAGATTTTAAAGATTATTTCATTCCTCTATCAATCAATAAGAGCACGCAAGTTGACGAAAGCCATAAATCCTACAGCACTTGATTTAATGCAAGAAGTTAAGTAAATTATACATAAAAATGTCTACCAAGAACTTAAAAGTAACTTCATGGCACCCTACAGGAGGTACCTAAAGCAATTTAGTTATCCAACAAATCATCAATATCTTAAAGTAAATTAAGTGGTTATAAAACATTACATCTCATATTTACTACAAAATATTCACAAGAATAATGAGTATAATTCTTCCTAATCATTTATAAATGGAGTAAAAAAAAAAATGATTCCATCGTATAATAGGGAGATTCCTAAGAAAACATGTTTTTATACAATGCTGAGAACAAGGTGCAGTTGTGGCTTTTATAATTACCATAGCATATCCATTATTTCCCGATAATTGAAATATACATTATAATGGGTACAGTGAAGTATACTATAACTATTTTTGTTTATGAAATGTGTTAAAATGATCATATTTTTGACAAAAAACTCTTAGAAGCTTTTAATTCACTTACTTGAATTACACACTTAAAGCCACTTGTTTTTAAAATATCAAACACTGAAGTTTTTGTCAGCTGGAAATAATTTTCATATTATGTGATGATCATAAAATTTAACACAAAAGCTCATTCATGCAAGGTTTTTAATAATTCAAAACATCCTTAATTTCTCAATAACTCACTTGAGAGTAAGTTTTCTTCTTAATTACAAATTTTATAATACTTATACCAATCTTAGCTCTAATACTCTGAAAATGGAAACCAAAGATTTAAATACAGCGTAGCCCCGTTATAACGCGTTCATTGAAGTCCCTAAAATGTCATCGCGAAACAAGCAGGGTCACAATAAATCAGGGTTCAAGAAAATAATTGTTCAAACTGACCCAAGATATTAAAAGTATGTAAATTATAACGAGGTTGGTCCCAGGGGACAAGTCCGTATCGAAAGAGTTAATGACCCATTGTGTTATATCCGAATTCGCATTAAATCGGGGCACGTAAAATCGGGGTTTCACTGTATAACCATTCACATACCTGTTCAATAAATACTTAAAACAATTTAAACCATCTGAACACTCCACCCCAACAGAACTATTTCACAACTTAACAGTTCTAGACACATATTCTGTCTAATTTTCAAAATGATGCTTCAAATGATCTCCAATCTCACTTTCACCATGAAAATAATACTACCAGATTTTGTTTAAAATGTCTACCAAAAGCTTTTCCTATATAATGACATTTAATTTACACTGTTCAAAAGTTTAACATTTTCTTTTTCTTGTAAATAAGCATAAAATCCCTTAAAATTTCATGTTATACACTATCCAACTTTAAGTACTCTTCGGCCCAAACAATAGCTCCTTTAGACTTGTTTTGCAAACCTGTATTGACCTTGAAGGCTGGAATTTTAGGAGAGCTCAAGAAGAGAATCAATGATTTCCTGATGGGTTTAAACTTAATTTTCTTTTCTTAGGGTGTATGTGCATGGACAACATGGAAGAATCGAAATGGTCCTTTCTTGTCCTTAAGATGTATGTCAGGGAAACATAAAATTATAATAAGAATACATTCTTTTTAATGTCTTGATTACCAAAGGCATTACTAAGATTTGTACCATCTCTGTCATTCACTCATTACTTCTTGATAAACTCTACACCTTCAGAAAACATATGTCAGGGCCTTGAATATCCTCCTTGATCATAAGAACAAGTTCAATAATAACATATTTCAGAAATAAGTTCTTTAAAATGTTATGATAAGAAAACAATCTTCCAAATTCTACAGAAATTCCTCAGCTTCTCACAAGAAAATAAAAGTGCCTCAGTTTATTTCACTTAAATAAAACCTTCCATAAAAAAACTTGTTTCTAATAGTAGCTGAACTTAAAATAGCTGAACATATATGGTTTAGATTTAGATGTATAAAAAATAAAACAACAAACATGATTTTCATGAAAGTTAACCTAAATATTCTTTAAAGAACCATTATTTCTACAATGTATGACATGTTTTTCAAACAAATTTTGCTCAATTTTAACAAAAAAAGTAATTCATTCTCTTGTTTGCACAAACACACAAACTACGGAAATTTTAAGATTCACATTTTAATACTCTTAGAAATACCAATTTCTATTTGAAATGCAAACTGCAACCAAAGCTTTCATATTCAGTATCTTAACACAGACTTTTACATGTAGCATTAGTGTAAAAGATAGAGATTATTTTCAATTTTCTTAAACAATCTATATATTATTTGGTAAATAGGAAAAACTTTCAAGATTTCTCTTCTTCAGAACAGGTGAAATCAATATTGTCTGCAGTTTCCTTATGTACCAAGAAAAACTGGAAAGCTGATTCATATTTCAACTATTTACACTAAAATCTCCATTTCTAAAAGAAAGTTCTTGAAGCACAGTAATATAAATTTTTTTGAGTTTTTTTTATTAGTTGATTATGACTGTAACATCATCTAGAATAAGTTTTTGTAACAGAACACTTTTTCTAAATTTTATTTAAAACAGTGTCAGATTGATGCACAGGCTAACATATTATAGAATACAATCACAACAAAAATACTAACACTGATGTTTTTTACCTGTAAATATAAAAAATGTAATTCATCCCACGTACCTGATTTTAAGAGAACACATTGCTTAATTTCATTGAAAATAATTATTTCAAAAAAGAAATGAGAACTTGAATGTTGAAATACTGTTTTACAGTATTGTTAACTGAAACATTTCCTTATTAAAAGCTAATGTTGAAATACTGTTTTACAGTATTGTTAACTGAAACATTTCCTTATTAAAAGCTAATGTTGAAATACTGTTTTACAGTATTGTTAACTGAAACATTTCCTTATTAAAAGCTAACTTACCAACTGAACTATAGACACCGCACAAATTATGTAGAATATTGCAGAAAAAGCAATATAATAGCTGAGGTTGGGATCAGTGCAGCTGCCTCCACTAAATTGGACCTAAACATTAAAATGGTTATTCATTATCAAACATTAAACTATTTCAATCATCAAAATACTTCTGAAGTTATCTTTTCACACAAATTATTTTTCTAAACATTCTTAACCTCACCTTCAACATACCAGCTCAGATGCATGTTGTATTACAGCTATAAGCACTTTTTTACATAACTAATACCCAACAAATTAATATATACACATAGTTATTAAATTTATCTCTACATAAAAGATTTGAACTAAACCCATTGTATATTTCCAAGCATTTTTTTTTTAAATATTTCAAAACAATTATAATGTACAACTCACAATGCAGGTACTTTAGCTTTTTTTCTTTTGCATCAGACCTACTTTATAATAACCATAAATGATATGGTATACTCTACCCTTCTTTAAACTTCACTTACTTCTTGACACCAAAATCTATATCTCTTAATACAAATTAATGGACACTTTCTGATGTCTTTTACCTATTTGAAACAGTCATAACTACCAAAAATATAGACAATGATAATTTATCAAACATGAATACATTTTTCCAAACATTTCTCAGATTCAAAATTCTTTTTCCTGTATTAAAACTCATGTCATAAATCGATTCATAACTCAACAGTTAAATTTGATATGGTTCGACTACGTTCCCAAGCTCTTAATGTTCATGGTTCAAACAAAACTGCAGGTGTCTGAAGAAGTTGACTGGTTAACCAGAACTTGATATTACTTCCATAATACTTCTAAAAGTTTGATTTCTCTTATTAATTTTTTTTAAAATACAAATCAAGAAAAAGTCAACATGAGGTCTAAATCAATAAATTTTGAACTTAAATAGATCAACACGGATCAAAGTTCAATCACTCAAAAATATATCAATCCTATTGTTCTGTTATCATTCATCTTGACTAAAACATACTTCAAACTAATATAGTAACATAATATTCTCCAGAGTTGGTATTATTCACCACTATTAAAATTATATTTTTTTCTGTGTTAAACATACCTCACAAAAACAAACTGCTTGGTAGCACTCCCCATGCCCTGAACAGTTATCTATACACTTCTCCATTTCATTCCACAGTGGAAGATGAAGCACTGGTGAAAACAAAGTTGCCATACTTGCTTGAAAATGTTGTTACCCTTAGCCTATCATCTTTGGTCTCACAGAGACTATTTTCACCCATAAGACAAACTGCTAAGGAAACTTGAGTTGAAAAAATCCTATTGTCAAAAAAAAAAGAGAGGTTCAATCTTATTAATTTTTTTGTAATTTTACAAAATGAAATACATTTTTTGAACATTTTGAAAATTTATTTTAGTACAGAATATAATTTAACTGAAACACTCCTTAGCTATTCATCTGTGGCACCTGGCTTCGTAGCACATGAAATTAAACTTCCAAATTGTAATTACACACCTTTACTTATACTATCCTGTATTTTCTTTTTTACTTTAACACAATTTTGCCTCTAAAATAATTATCATTGAAGCTAAACAATTCAGTTTGGAATAGCATAATAATTTGAGAAAGAACTTAATATTACAATGGCTTTTAGTTTTATTGTGGACTTAGGGATAATTCTAACAACTGAATCAAGAAAGAATAAATCTAACTTTAAAAAATACAAGGCATTAGACCAACACAATAAAAAAAGAAATAACTGCTCAAAATGGCTACAGCTAAAAAGAACAGCTTTGGATATTTGTTATAACCAGAAACACTAATCATTTGAAAAACCTTGAATTAATCAAAAATAATAAAGGGAAATCATAATAACAATATTTTGATTACTTAGGTAGTTGGAATAGTCAAAACACTAATGCTGATTTGTTGATTATTTTCATTTCAATAATTGATTACACTGATAAGCTGGGTTAACTGACCAGCACTAATGTGCAGCTGTGCAAAGCAAATGTTCAGGTTGATAAGTTTCTCAACAGATAAAGGATCCATGATCATATAAACTTAAAATGTATCAATTACTATCTCCATTCTTTCATGAAAAATGTGAATTTATTTTAAGCCTTTTCAGGCTCCTGCCCCATGTCCAACGACCTATAAAAAATAAAACAAAAAACCAGCAAGTAACTCATAAATCTGGTCCTTCATCCTTTTAATAATCCTAAATATTATCAGGTTCAGGAGCAGTTACTATTTTCAAACTCTCACGTTTTTCTAACATATTATCTGCACATATCCATATCGCACACTCAAATACTTCCTCGAAATAAATTCCACGTACAAAGTCTAGCCCCAATAACCGGGCTAGATACTACAATGTGTCATAAAACTTATAATGTTGAAAAAAAAAAGAAGAAAAACTAATACTCAGCCCAATATTTCGGCTAAGATAGGTTCACGAACCCAAACATACTGTTAATGTTATAGTTTATAGTTAATGCCCTTTTCATTTGAGTTTTTGATATCCTTCCTTTTTACTTATGTAATTACTTTGTAAACTGCAGTTTCATATTAAACAAGGCGTTGTTGATCAATTTTAAAGTTATAACTAAAGTGTAAAATACATACAACTTACCATTATATTATATATACATGACACAAACACACCGGTGACAATCAAATACTAAAGTAAAACTACTAAAGTCTTATTACGATTTACGATCCATCAAAAAATAAATACCTATATAATAGCGCCATCTATATATATGAATATAAGTAACAATATAACTTTTAGCAAAAGACAAATTTATACCTTAAAAAGATATGATAATTGTTTTCAACTTGTTCAGTGTCTTGTTTCAGAACGAAAAAAGAATAAAACAACAGCTTTAACAAATGTCAGTTATATTACATGGCAAACAAAAGCGATTAATATGTTCTGTAAGTCTAAAAAATTAGGCAGACCTTAGTAAAATTACACAACGTAACCTTAGTTTACAAATTACGTTTGTCAACTAACAAACGTTTCAAAAACATTTCCTAAAATAAATTTCGTAGACTGTGTTTGAGTACTTAAACGGGAAGTATAAAGACGCCCCATGTCATTATTCTCAGTGTCTTTATTATACTTGTGTTTTAAGCAACACAGTCTACAGATGTTCTGAAACTTAAAAATATACTTTTGATAATGTCATGAAGAAACTTCTTATCGAAAAAGTTAATGTAACTACTTGTTCATTATAAATTTAACCTTTTTTTACTTACCTAAATGTATAGTTCCCATATAAAACTATCGAATACAATAGTAATTTGATCCTTCATGTTATTACTATTAGTTTATTTTAAGCATAGGATTCTTCATATAAATTAATGTTAATGAAAATTATAAAGTTAGCTTTTTTTGGTTCAGATAATTTTTATAAAAGAATATTTGCACTGTCTTGTACGAAAACATAATAAGAATATTTATTATATATAATGTAAAGCTATTATTGCTGTATATAGACATATCATGGTTCTTCTACCTTCTATAGTAACATAACATTTATTAATTACTGACTATTTAGTTTTCTCACTGTCGTGGCGGTAACAATTGGCTCAGGATTGCTAACATTATTTTGTTCTTTTTGTTGTTTCTTATTTAGCACAAAGCTACACAAAGGGCTATCTGTGCTCTGCCACCACGTAAGTCCACAGACATACCACTGTGCCACTGAGGGGGGGGGGCTTTTTGTTCTTTTTAAAGATAAAAAATGCCGTGTTTAGTTGTGCTAAGTACCTGATGATGCCACCTTAACAGGGATGAAACGTTGTTTTTGTTTGATATCTTTTATTTTCCTATCCCATTTTAGCTATTTTCTGAATTTTAAAAAGTATTATAGTTTGTGGGATACACCCAACATCTATATTTATATTGTTCTTTTGGTAGATGACGTCTTCTGCCTGCAAGGCTATTTTTAGTGCTGTATATAGAGTCTGGGTTAAACTAGTCGAAACTGAAATTTCCTTTGGCCAGTTTTGACGTCACTGAAACCGATAGCTGACCAATGCTGTATGGAACAGATGTTACGAGATGATGCTTTTCACTTGATAAAGAAAGCAAGTTAAAATTTTTAATCAAGGCACTCTTTCTTGGTTCACTTCTCACCTTGTCTGGACATGCCCAACAAGAGAGAGGGACTGTCTGCTCTCATCTGTGGGTAAATCTGCTAAGTTTTCTTTTTGTTATTTAAATAATGATTTTACTTGTTTGTTTAAAATATGTACACTCTATTTATTTATACACTAAAAGAAACACCCAGTCAAAGTATCTCAGTCATAAGAATTTTTGCAAATCTACTTGGCGAATTCTGCAGTTACTGCGGAAACTTCTTTCTGATATTGCTAGGGAAATTGGTTTTTAACTAAAAATATCCCACTCTTATAATGTTACTGCAAGGTAGCTGGGTATAGAAGAATACCTTGTGTTTCCTTTCTTCTTATTTCAATATAGTATATTTTCAGAATTTACCAGTTATTCTCACATAAGCAGGTTTCACATAACATAAGGTCAAGAAAGTCATTAGGTTGCTTTCCGTTATAGCTATCTTTGTTACTCGTCATTCTCTTGAGGTAGTATAGCTGCAATGCTGCACGTTGTGCAAGGATTTCGAGAGCAGCGTTCTCTAGTGGGAGGTTAGATGGTGCCTCAGAATTATAACCTTACTTAAGTTTGAATGAGAATAACTAGTTACGTGGTTATCGCTAATTGCTCTGGGTTAATCTAATGTTACCCTGGAAATAAGTAATGTTACATTTTAAAATTTCTGCTATTCAGTCTTAACTAATATATTTAGGAGAGTAAACAACAGTAAAAGCGACTGCCCAGCATCCTAAGCAAGTATACACACTGTGTTATTGTTAGTGATTTAGTACTTGTTTGTTTTGAATTTTGGGCAAAGCTACACGAGGGCTATCTGCGCTAGCC